CTAATGCTGTAAAGACTTACTGTGCAATAAAATACTGTGCAGTAAGCTTCCCTAGGAGCACATCTACATGCTCCCAATAGGGAGCAAAGCCCAGTACAGGGCTGCTCATAACCTGCTCTGGCCCCCTGCAGCAGCCCAAGGGAGCTAGCCCCAGGGTTGGCAAGGATCACGGGGCCTGGTCCCAATGCTCATGGGGCTGAGAGAGCTCTCCTGGCTCCAACGGCAGCTGTCTCCTGGCCCTGTGCACTATCACAGTGGCACCAGTGCTTGAAAGAGTGAATCTAATTTGATTCCACCTTGACTACAGTTAACAGGAAAATAAAATGCTCCTCTCCTCCTTCCTTTTTGTACTCCTTTTTTGTAGCTTTGACTTAAAGCTAAGATGAAAGCAAGTTACCAAAGTAGAATTTTATTAATAATTTTTTTCAGAGACTTAAACATGGTGAAATAGGATCATACTGAGACATCAAATAGTTGGAATAGGGTTTGGCACAGTAGCATTCAGTCTTGAAAAAAGATATAGATTTGGATTTGTGAAGGAATTTGGTCTTAATGTCATTTTGGCAGGTGTTACAAGGATCTTATTTAGATTCTGCTGCAGCTTCTTGGCAAAATAATTAGCCCATATAGTTATGTGCTGCTGCATCTAAATGCTTCTGCTAACCTAAAAAGCGTGTTTAAAACTAGCCTAGATGCATCTAAAATCCACAATAGCCTCAAGTGTAGACATGTTAGTTTGTGAGGGTCGTGGCCACATTAATCATAGGCTATAATTTTGTCTCTGACCAATGTTAAATATTTGAGTATCTAAAGTGTGGGATTTAATGCCTACCAGCTTATGTTCAAGTTTTTCTTCATCCAACATGAATTTTTAAGATAAATAAATATAGGGTTTAATGGAAAATTGTATATAAATTTTCCCTTAAAACCTATATTTATTTATTTATTTATTTATTTTAAAAAAATCGTGCTGGATGAAGAATATATATATATATCATATTTGTTGAAATATGCACTGCATGTCTTTTTTCTGAAAGCTTTAATAAAAGATGTTTGAAATAATTACTTTTTAAAAAATTTCCATTAAACCCTTTTTTTCAGAAAATATTTAAAATGGCTCCATTTGAGCACATTTAAATGACAATATCTTTAAATTTCAAAAAAGAATCTAATATATATATTGAACACTTGGCTAAGTCTCCTTATCTATTTCAAGCATTCTGCCATACCAAGGCATTAACTTGTTCTACAGCTTGTTGAATTCAGCTTCAGAACATCCGGATGAAATTGCTCAAAGTTCAACAGGCATCACATCTGCAAATTACTCTTGCATAAGGAAATGCCTAATCTTAACTTTAATTAAGGTTGTTCTTGGAGACAGCAAATTGTACATATTTGTCATAGTTTTATCTTGACACAGGCATAACAAATAATTTCTGTACCCTGGGCAGTGGCTGTGGTGGTGGCTATGGCAGGTGTGTTGGCTGTACAGTGGCTGAGCCCACCATATTTGAGCTCCCTTGAAATTAGCACCTAAGCATGGTTTAATATTGAAGCAAAAATTCAATATACCTTTATTGGAATATTATAACGACGTTATTTAAAAAATTATAAAAATTATTTTCAAAACACCCCAGTCAGGGAGGTAAGTTATGAAATAAGTGTATTTGCCCTAATTTCATGGTGAGGGTGGGGGAGAAGGGTGGACCTCAAGTAAATTCATCACTGATATAAGGGGTTGATATTGAAATTAGTTCTCTGAAATTACACAGCACGTCTGTTATCAAGGACTTCATCATGCTTCTCTCTGAAAGATTAAATATAGAACAATATGTGCTTGAAAAGCACACAAGGAGCTAACCCAATCCAAGTAACAGTGGGAAGCATCCCAAACATTCATTTTTCCTTCAGAACAGAGAGCAGCTTGAGACACAGGGGTTGGCTAAGGTCCAAGCTTTGAGAAAAAAGTGAGAGATGTGGGGTGTGTTTCTCATTACATAGTGAGTTTGCATGAAATTGGAAAGGCCTTTTCTGTTGACTTAACTCCGCTGAAGTCAATATAATTCCATCCCCAAAGAATGTGTCCTTTAGTCTACTTTCAGAAAGCTTCCAACATGTTCAAGACCAATGTACTAGCAGTGCCCAGCAGGTGACACTCTAGCAACACAGATACAATTAGCTACAACCCGATCAAAATTATTTCAGTTTATGCTGCAAAATTATGTTTTGTTAAAGAGAAAATTACTTACTGAATGGAAAATGAATACATTTGTATTATGAACAACCCAGATCATTTATATTCTATCACTAGGTATAAATTTATAATTAGAGCCATGTTCTGTGCACACAAAACAGTTCATTTGTTAACTTTAGGGCCTGCAACACACTAGGTTACAGAATAGTTTCCAATATAAACGTATGTTCTCACAAGCTTATTGCACCATTTAAGCAATGACACCCATGCATGTTGGCAGAATGCCTCAAGCATATTTTTGTCTTTTCTTACTGTAAGACAGTTTCAAAGCAAGCCTTTTAAAACCTAGGTGTGTCAACTTGGTTAATCTGACGATGATTGTGAGCTTGGTCATAAGGAATTGTGACGTAGGACTGGAAGGACTGCCTCTCTCTCTCTTTCTTAACTTGACGGAAATCCAGCTTAGAACATAGTTTGTAATTGGGGGCAAAATGACCTCCTTAGGAAGTCTGTTTGAGGACCTCACTCCCATGATGCTTAGGAACTTCTTCTAATTTCCGAACTAAATTTCTTGATAGCTGTTTTAAGCCCCTTTGTTCTTATGCACATTTTAATTTGCTTTTCTGCTTCCTTTTCTTTATTCACGGATGTATTAGGGAGCAGTCATCTTCTCTGAGATTTTGCTAAGGTAAGCAAAATCTTTTTGTCTCCTCCCATTCTTTGTTGATACTAGTCGCCCTGCTCTGAAAAGATTGCCATTTAAATCCATCTTAAACAGGGATCTGTGCTGCTGCTTGATTTGACTGGGAGGAAATTAAAATGGTAAAAGTTTTATGAAGCAATTGAAAAATCACTCCTGGTCTGGCTCACTAACATCTGGTGTAATTGTAGAAGAGTTTAACAAAGGCCCCACCTATTTTGAAACCTGCCAGAGTGCATTCTCCCTTTCTGACAGGCACAGAAACTTCTGTTCGATCCCAGGAAAGGGCTTGCCACTTCAGGCATGTCACCAGACTTTTTGCATCACAGAGATTAACATTTCATTGAGACACACTGTTTTGAAAATCTGCTTTAGTATCAGGGACAGGAAATAATTTAAATGTGTGTGCAAATAAAAAAAAGGCATTTTTAGGACGCTGTCAATTCTTTTTTTTCATTTTTTCCCCAGAAAGTATAGGTGAGATAATATAAATCATTAGAAATAAAAAAAAGCTCTCTCTCTGGATACAAAGAGTACTAGAAACATAACCTTCCTTATCCTGTCATGGTTTTTGTTAAATACATGGCTGAATGTATTACTCAGTCTTAAATTCTTTATACAATGATATATAGTTGGTTTGTACCACACAAAGGATTAATGCTTATATAGAAACCTTAGCTCATTTATTTTCTAACTTTGTGTGAGTTTACGTTCACCTTCCACTTGAGGTTATACTGCATTTTAATTGCCATTTCTTGAATAATGCAGGATGAAAAAGGAATAGACAGTCAATCAATACCGTACACCATCCAATATTACTGAACTTAATATAACATCAAAACTGACTTTTTGAGGCCACTTACTAGTTCGCCTACCAAGATGGTAAGCAGCTCAAATTTTCAGGAAGAGTAAAGTGAGCAAATTAGCCAAAGTAGATCTACCCCCTTCTGCTTTCCCTGAATATATTAAACTAAATATATTTTGTCCAAAATAAAATGTGAATAAAATTATCTTCAAATATCAAGCAATTCACTAAAATATCTGTTATCAAAAGTGATGTCATCCTATGGCCCAGATACACCAGCCGTGTAGAGGTATTGATCAGCCCTACTGATTAGTTGGAGATTCCCATATATTATCAGATTTCTTAGCCCCATCTCCAATGAGATATCATTTACATCTTGCATATGCTCTCACCTAATCATCCAAGTGAGCCTTTTATTTTTTAAAGCAAGACTGTGTTTTACCAGCCACCCATGCATGTAGTGATTTGGCCTTTATCTGGTAGAGTAAACTGCTGCTCCTGTAGGAAAAATAACTACACTTCACAATTCTCCTCTTAAAATGTAGATGTGTACCTACACTGCACAGTCTCAATCACCAGTGTGTGGAGGTGAATTGATATCAGTAAATTTACTCCAGATTTATTTCAATATAACCCTGAGACCAGAATTTTATCCATAATATATTATGGATATATTTTCTGAGAGGGAAGGAACATGAACACAGTGGGGTTTTCTTTAGTTAAACATTTATTTACATAAGGCCTGATTCCACCAAATGCTGCATGACTTTTCAAGGGGCTTTGAATTAAGCCCCTTATTTACTAAGCCTATACTAGGTCTTTTATTCTTCCCCTCCTCTCTTCCCCTTCTCCCTCCTAGCTACATGAAGTGAATATGTTGGGACACTGTGAGATATAACATACCACAAGTGAGCAAAAAACCAAAAAATTCTGGTGTGGTGACAACAAAGTTGAGTCATGCCAGTCTCCTGAGCAAAATAAATGTCATATCCCACAGCTACTCATTATTTACCATTCAAGTACAAATACCTCCAGACTGGAATGTTTTGCATTACTCTACATTTTCCGTATGTGATTGGGGATGTAACTTCATGTTTTTAAAAGGAATAAACACATGAATGGTAGTTAAACAGCAAAACAGCTAGTTGTTGTTAGAAGTATTTGGCCTGCAGTTTTGATTGGTTTACCTGCTAGTAGGGTAATTATGTTCTTGTGATCTTATCTCAGCTAAGCTGGCCAGAAATCAAATGTCCACTCCATGTATCAGTTTAGTTTGTAGTATAGTTTTCTTCTCTTCATTCTAGGGCAGGATGAAAAACCAAAACGTTGAAAAATATTTATGGAATACAAATTCCACACAGTGGGTATTTGTTCTGGGTTGGGGTTTTTTTTGGGGGGGGGAGGGGTTGGGGGGGTTGTTATTTTTTTTTGGCAACACCCTGTTTCTGTTTTTCTGAAATGAAATGCATTCCCATGGATCCCCAGTCTAGGCAGGTTGCCCTCTGCTTTCAGTAATGGGGACTGTGGTACTGCAAATTGCATTTTAATGCGGCTTGACTGTGTAGAAAAGAAGTTTATAAGAGGACTGGAAAAACCCTTGTTCTGTTAAGTAATTGCAGCTGGAATTTCAGACAGTGGAATTTCATTTCAGTCAGTAGCTGTCAGGATTTTCAGAGTCTCCAGATAAGGATAACACCCCACTATGCAGACTGCTCTGAATCACGGGATCCAAGGTTTCCAAAGTACCAGGTCCACTGCCTGCTCAGCTCACAGGGCAGCTGATTCCCAAGTTGCAAGATCTGGACAGCATGGAAACCAACTACCGTGGGTCCTTGGCACTAATGCAGTTTTCATGGTAAGGTGAACCTAAAGCCCAGGAGATGTGGCATTCCCAGCTTCCAGACAGAGTCACATTGGGGCTGTTGCATTGTTCAGGAAACTTAACCCCCTGTACACCCTACTGGGAAAGCTGTCAGGAAACTAGTATAGCCTCTGTTTTATAGGAAATTCTGAAACCCAAGACTTTACTTTCAAAACATTTTGATTTCAAGAAAGCCTGTTTGTCTGGAAAATTCCTAACTTGCTCTGATTGGCTAGACAGAACAAGTTCAGTGGAGTCTAGTAAAAAGTCACCATTTTCCTGTTTATTGAAATAAGTCAGACTAGTAATGGCATTTCTTTAGGCTTGCAACTGTGTGTAAATGTTCATTATTTAATGTGGCGCATTCACATTGTGTTGTAGTAGGGATGATTAGAAAGCCTGGGCTTGACTCAGGTGTTCCAAAGTTGCTTCAAGTTTCTATCCTATAACAATGTATTTTAGAGGTTTAGAGTTAGAACTGATCTCACATCTTGATGTTGAAAAGGGCTGGGTTTTTTTAAGTTGGGAAAACTTTCATTGAGGAAATGAAAGGGTACTTATGCACCAGAAAGAAAGCACTTACTATATTTGAATGACACTTTTGTGTATGACTTCAAAATATAGCCTGACTCATTCAAAGAATGCAGAGGATCCTAATGCACTCATGAATAACTTCATCACATAATCATCTAAATAGAGGTTTTGAATACTTAGATTTTCAAGAGCTGCATACAGTAAAAGCTGTGTTAAGTGGTATTCTACTATCCAAAATACTCTATTAACTGGAATTTCCAGTGGCTGCCAGACGTTGGGGCCGCCACCCACCACCCTGCGCTGTTGCCGCTCCGCGTATGGCCGCCGCCACCCACCTCCCAGCCCCTGCTCTGCCTGCAGCTGCCTTTCCTCCCCACTCCTGCCCCACTCCACAGGGTTTTTCTCTGGTTTATCTGGTTGGCTCAGATAACCAGAATTTTTAGATACTGGCACCCCCTTACCCCACTCATGCCAGTTAACACAGCTTTTACTGTAGTTAGATACTGTAAGGAATGATATAAAAGGAAAGGTTTATCAGGCTGGTAAATTTGTTCCTACAGTGTTTTGGGGTTTTTTTTACGTGAAATGACACCCTGAACATTTATGACCTCATGATCATTAACAGCCTGATATAGGGTGTGTACAAAAGTTGGGTTTTTTTGTCATTTAAAGCATTTTATTGTCATGCAGAGCAGAAGTGCATGGCTTTACAGCACCTTAAAATGGGTATAATGCTTTTAATTGACCCTTGTTAAATGAGGTATTAAATTTGAAGCACTGCATTTTACAGCACTTTAGCAACCTGTAGCTTTAAATAACTTGTACACTGGTCAAATTTCTGACTAGAGGAAAAGCCCCAGGAGGCTGCAGAGTGCCCCTGCTTCCTAGCCTAGAAAGTTCAGGAAGGCTCAGAGGCCACCGTACCAAACACTGCACTTCTGTCACGTTTAAGACAACTATACAGTACTTTAGCAACCTGTAGCTTTAAATAACTTAAAGCTTTAAGTTATAACTAGTGCTATAAAAAGTGCTCTAAATTACAGCACTGTAACATGTGCACAGATCACTTCTTTATACACGCTGTATGTTTTGTAAGAGAAGAGATTTTTCACTGTCTAAAACTTCCCACTCTTACTACAGTCCATTGTGGACAGGCTGCCATCTTCCATCCCAGAGCAAGCAGCAGAAGTCCTTCTATTCCCTGCAACAGTTTTTCAGGTTATTTTCCCTCAGCATTTGTCACCTAGTTTTATAATGTTAATGAGCTTTGTGGTGTACCTTGGAGAATGTTTTAGTTTCTCCCTGCTTATGTTTACTATCTCAATGTCACACCTAAGTGATAGCCAAAATCATCACAGAGTTGGAGCACTGAAAAGATTGCTCAAGTCTACTTCCTTAGCTTTAGACAGGGAAAAGTGCACTTGGAAGGAGAGCTTAATATGCCATTCATCTGTATGAAAGAGACAAAACCTGTGGCTTCTCATTTTGAAGAGCTGATGGACCTAGGATGAATACAGCCCTTCAAACTATTGTTTTGGTGCAAGTACTTTAGGAATTATTCTAGGGTGAAGTTTCACATTACACTTAGACTATACTAAGAGCACTTAAACATGAATGTCCACACATAAAAGCTCATTAATTCATGCTAAGTGTCCTCTGAGCATTTCAAAGTTATGCCACTTACCACTAGCTCATGTTAGGGTAATTTCATGGAGATAAAATGTGCAATTTGCATTCTTCCCGCATCCCAAGATGCACGACTTCCAAACCCCACTCCTCCCCCAAAGC